TCCTTCATTTGTCAGACAAAATTAGCTAGGTTTAGGTGATTTGGCCCCCTCTAACATTATATGACATGTTTTGGCCCCCTCTATATTTAATTTCTGGCTCCCCCACTGTTAGTAGTGTATAGTATATGAGAGCAACGACCCGGTACCCAGGCTCATCTGCACCCACGATGAAAAAAAAATTCAAAAAATTCCACTATTTATTTTTGCATGGTAGATAATTTGGTGGGTGAGGTGCACTCGAAATTTCAGATCATTTGGACATATGAGTAGCTCTCACCAAAAAAAAAGAAAAATTTGGGGTCCGTAAAAAAGTTTACTATTCATATATTGTTCTGACCCAATTTATCTTTTTTGCTGAGATCTACTCATAGTGCAAATGATCTGAAATTTCGAGTGCACCTCACGCACTAAATTATCTACCATTAATTTTTTTGGATTTTTTTTGTGATTTTTTCTTGACCAGGTGCAAATGAGTTTGGGCTCAGAAATGGATATTCGATAGTATATTAGTAATTATTTTAAAACAAAAAAGGCATATACTAGAAATACCGTATAAGATACCACACACATGCATGTTTTAAGCAAAATATACTGGTTATTAATTACTTATGTAATTTAGACAAAAATAGTTTTTGCCATTGTCACACACACTAAAGGTATCACATACATATATTTAGGTACAAAAATATAATATACGTGTGAATCTTTGTTAGATATTTAGTTTGAATTTTGTGGGACAATGCATGCAAAAAAAATCTTCTACAAACCATGCCACATTGTAAGATGAAAAGGGGTCAATTTCAACATATTGTAACACATAAATAAGATACATAAATGCTATCCAGCAAACGTTCCTTCAGAAGCATGGCATTTGCAAACGTTTTTCATGGCATTTTATGTTGTGGGAACATGTCAATTCTCTCAGGCGGACATGACATTGTTCGCAGCAATATCGTTCTTTTGCAGAAGTTGACATGTATTCATGAAGAAATTGCCATGCGCTTTCGATGAACTTGCCATAAAAAAACATGTGTAAATGCCATGCTTCCCAGGGAAGGGTCCATAAGATAAAGGTGCACGTATGGTACATTTCACTTTAAGTGACATGATCATGGTATGGAAGTCTGGACATTGAAAATGAAAGAGAGGGGGCATTTAAACCTGTCAAAAACATTGCACAGCAGGAATTCACTCTCAATCAATTAACATACTATATGATTTGATTCTTCCTCGGGATCATCTTAAAAAAATTCATAACTTGTGCTATATATAATTTGAATTACACATGTAAAATTGATGATATAGGAATACGGGCAAGTCCTATAAACTGCAACGGAGGGACTACTAAGGTTGACACCAATCAATAACTTATTTTGCTGGTTGGCTATATTGGTGCTAGATATAAACGAGTGCGAGCAACCAGGAGGAAGTCGGTGCCTTGGTAAATGCACAAATACGCAAGGCTCTTTTGAGTGTGGGTGTCCGTCAGGATCCCATGGCAACCACAACCTGCCTGACGGTTGCGTCCCTTCAGTCATAGTCACAGGTTAGCACCACAATCTTTTCTCCATTTTTCCTATGTAAAACGCGGACAAGTTTCTTATTTATAGCAAAATGTCCATACTAATATGGAAAAAGTCCATTTTAAACCTTGAAATCGTAGAGGTTCGGCGAATCAAACCCTCAAGTCCAAATCCCTGTCGTTTGCACCCTAAACTATACAATCCCAGTCTAAATCAAACCCTGGAGTCGTTTGCCAAACAGGGATTGCAAAGGAAGGCCGAGATTGGTGGTGGAACCTATTTGCCGCCCACAGCAGTGGCTACGCCCGCGGGTGGGCCGGCCCATTTCGTGGCAGCACGCGCTGTCCGTTCATTGCTTTGTTTTTCTGTTCATTTCTTTTGTTGACCTTTTGTTTTATTTTATCTTTTAGGTTTATTCTTTCTGGTTCTTTCTTTCTTTCTGCCTTTTTCTTTCGGGTTTTCTTTCTTTTGTTTTTTGTTTTCCTTTTTCTTCCATTAATACATTATAAGGAAACATTTCATTGTGTATTTTTTCATTAATAATACTTTAATATGACGAACAATCTGTGTTTCTTCTGTTTATTTTTACTTTCTTATTTTTTGTGTATTATACAAGATTTTATCATGTATTATGAAAATGGTCATCATATATTTAAGAAAATGTTTATTATGTACTTAAAAATGTTCAGCGTATAGGGAAAAAATGTTTAATATGTACTTTCAAATTTTTCAGCGCACATCACAGTAATGCTCATTGTGTATTTTCAAATTGTTCAGCGTATATCACAGTAATGTTCACTGTGTATTTACAAATTGATTAGCATACATCACACAAATGTTCAATGTGTATTTAAGAAATTGTTCATTGTATATTAAAAAATGTTCAATGGTCGATTTTTTTTATTAAAACGCAGATGCACAACTTTTTAAAGAAAATTGGTTCCGTTTTAAAAAACTCACAAAATTAAAAAATGGTCGTGTTTTCTAATTTTTTCCTGGAGTTTCAAAAAATATTCCTATATTTCACAAAATTCTAAAGATGTCCGTGTTTTCAATAAAAATCAGGAGTTCAACAATGTTCCCGTTTAAAATTGTTTGCGAGTTTTAAATCTTTTCCGTTTTCCTAATTTTGTTCGGGTGTTTTAAAAAATATGCATGTTCCAAAAGTTTGTTGAAATTCTCCAAATTAAGTTTCGTAAATTTGTTCACAAATTTGAGAAGTAGTTGCTTTTCATAAACACTCAAAAAGAATCGAAACATTTTTTGCGTTCGAAATTTAAGAAAATATTCGAATCTGGTGTTGATTCATATAGTTTTGTGTTGCTTTATTTTAGGTGTATATTCTTTAGTGTTGCTATTTGAATATATTAAGTCGGTAGCTCAAATGGAAGTACCAGTGTATGTTGAGCTGCAGATCCTGGGTTTGATACTTGGCTAGCGCGCATTTTTTTAGCCTTACAGGCTCGCGCTACAGTAAGGTCCGCTGACGGTCGCCGGTTTTCATGGGCCGGCCCAGTCAGAGTTCGGCCTGTGCGACAGAAGAATAAAGCCAACATTTTTTTGAGAAAAAAAAACAAATGGGCTGGCCCATCAGACAAATCCCGGTTGACTTTTTGCCAGGGTTTGATTTAGACCGGGATTACATAGTTCAGGGTGCAAACAACAGGGATTTCGACTTGAGGGTTTGATTCGCCGAACCTCTACAAGTTCAAGGTTTAAAATAGAATTTTTCCTACTAATATTGTCCTCGTATTAGGTACTGACTGCAACACGTCTTGCGGTAACGTGAAAGTACCGTACCCGTTTGGCATGGGTCCCCGCCACTGCTACAGACCAGGGTTCAACCTCACATGTGACACAACAGGCGGCAACACCACACGCCTACTGCTCGACGACTATGGAGACTTTCGGGTCCTCGATATCTCCCTCGCCAACACCACAGTGCGTGTCGCTCGCACTGGTGCCTTCTTAGGTCTCACCCCCTCAGAAGATTTCTTCAGTTTTGACAGTGTCTTCACGCAACCAA